TTTTCATCTTCTAAAAAGACAACACTCATAAAACCATTGAAAAATGTTTTTTAAGGGATTCTGGATAACTAGTTCAAGACATTTTCGTCTTCATACACACAAAAAAAGTGATTAGGAGTTTTTCTCATTACAGTTACTAAGGAAAGGGTCACTGAAGAAAAATGAGGTTTTCTCCTTAGTTCACAGTGTGAAGAAAAGGAGAGACCAGGGTAATTAGGACACAAGCATTTAAAACACATTTATATAATTACATATGCAATGGTCATAAAGACATGGTAGTTTGTTATGGGACATTTGAACTCCTGATTCACTTTCTTGGGCTTCATCATTTTATTTAAAATTAAATTGAGATTTTGGAAACCCTCACTTTTAGTGTATCTTTATACTTGCAGGGCACTGATTTTAGCGCTATATTAAATTGGTTCGATTTTGACATTCCTTGGAATGATTTGAATTAAGCTGAAATAATTAATTTATCAAGAAGAAATGAGGAGGAACTAAAGTTGTTCTACGTGAATAACTTGTACAAAGGTAAATTTTAATTTCCAGCATGGCTCTGCAACTGTTGTCTGTAAGTATGTAATATAATATTGTAACATTTCTCATTGCCAGTAAAAGTAGTTACACTGACAGTCATTGTAACCGACTAAATAATGTTTAAACCAACAGATAGCAGGTATGTTCAAGGAACTTGACATTATTGGAGGTACAAGGGATTCTGTATTGGGTCAATGGGACCACTAAATTTTAACTGAAACTTGTTTAAAATATTACCTATATATTAAACATCCAAGAATTACATTAATTTAAAATGCTAAATAGAGCATAAACTTCTAAATATCTTTACATCAAAGAACACTTCAAATAATACACTAATTTTAATGTACATACATAACAGACCAAATACTATTCACACTTTTCAAGATAAAATGATACAAAATCAAGCATTTGAATGAAAATCAAGGAAGCATATGTTATGCAGTGATTATAAGGGTCCTTTATACTCCCTTTTTATCCTAAGAAATCAAGAATTCTTTTAAAAAAATTCTGTTAGTAGTGTTAGTTGGTCATAAACAGTTTAAAGAACATAGAGTAAAACTGGAATATGTCATTCCTTCCTCAATAAAATATAATGTACAACCAATTTGAGGCATTTACTCATTTGTGTAGGAAATGAGTTAGTCGGTCTATTGTGAAAAGTGAGTTAATTTTAAAGGGCAAATTATTCAAAGTAATGATATATATTTA